ATAATCTGGAGTTTCTATTTGTTTGCTACTGATAGTGGTTACAACATCATGTTTTCTGACTTTTCCATCTTTCAACTTCCCTACAAATTGTGTATTTAATAAGAACAACATAAAGTTTGATTTCTTTTTTAATTGTTTATTTGTTTAATGTCGATTAAGTAAGACATTGATATTCCTTCTTAATTCTGACTTTGTGTTTAGTTATTTGCACCAAAGAAAAAGAAAAATGGCAGTGGAGAAAAACAGAAAAGTGGAAAATGTGAATGTGAAGCAGAGGAATATTGTATTGGTTGGAATTAAAATTGATGAGAGTGGCAAAGAGATCTTGAAATGGACACTTGAAGAAATTGCACAATATGGAGATTGTGTTCTTGTTGTTCATGTTTGTTCTACTTTTCGTAAGCTCTTCTTCTCCTCCTTCTTGTTAATTACTTGTTCTCTTGAAGTTTCCGTTTAATACTTAAAAGTTTTTGTATGGTTTTCGATTTATAAAACTTTTTTCTGAGGTAATGATTTGATACAGATAGTGCCTTGAAAAGCAAGTCTTGGTTGGATCGGTACTTAGAACTTTATAGTGAATTATGCTCAACAAAAAAGGTAGCTTTAGATCTTTTTCCGGGATTGTTTCGCGTAAAAGAAACGATTTTGAGCAACGGGTAACGAAGAATATTCGGTTCTTGAGAACAGATTGAGCTCATAGGAGAAGTTTTGAAGGGAAATTCAGTTCAAGGGGTTTTAGTTAAAGAGGCAAAGAGATACAACGCTATGTCTATTATTGTTGGAGTTAAACATCAAAGAAAATTAAGGTGAGAAAATCTATAAAGAGAACTATTTTTTTTTTTTTTTGCAATTTGATATTTTCTTACAGATTTTAAATCTTTTTTTGTTTAATAGTTTGAAATTAGCTAAAGGCTGCGCAAAAGAGCTTCCTCCAACAACTGAAGTTTTGGCCATCCACAGTGGGAATATAGTCTTTAGACGTTCCAACCATTACCAACTACCTCTTGGTTCGTTGGTTCTCTTTACACCAAAATCTTTGAACCTATATATAAAGTCTATATAACTCGAATCAGTTGACCAGAAATGGGTTTGAATTTTCTTGCAGCTCAAAAGATGAGTTCAAGAACAAGTTCTGAACTCTCTGATGGATTTTCAGACAAAGATACTGAACTGAAATCCGAGGAATCAACGGTTAAAAGCAGAGATCTCGAGAGAGTGGTCCAAGAGAAGAGGAAGATTTCCGGTAGATCGTTGTCTCTTCCATCAGTTGAGGTGATTGACCAAAAACCGGGTTGGCCATTGCTAAGAACAACCACTTTAGCTACTCCAATGGTTCACAATCAGACTCGGAAAATTTCAGTCGTCAATTGGGTCATGAGCTTGCCTGAACGGTTTCCGAATCATCCGAATATGACTACTCAAAGGAGCTTTTGCGATAAACAACTTAAAGATATACTGAAGGAAATAAACAAATGGTTTAGCTATGATGTTCTTAAGACAGCAACTTCAGATTTCTCTTCAGGTACTAACTAATTACTCTGTTTTGTTTTTTTGGTGTTCTTAGCTACTTTATGTTCATTGGACTCTTTGGTTTTTTTGTCGATTACAGAGAATCTGATTGGAAAAGGAGGATGTAACGAAGTATACAAAGGGGTTCTTGAAGATGGCAAAGCTGTGGCAGTGAAGATCTTGAAACCATCTGTTAAAGAAGCAGTGAAAGATTTTGTTCATGAAGTGAGCATAATCTCTTCTTTGAGTCATCAACACATCTCTCCTTTGATCGGTGTATGTGTCCGATGCAATGACCTAATCTCTGTTTACAATCTCTCATCCAGAGGAAGTTTGGAAGAAACCCTTCAGGGTTAGCACAATACTACTCTACTCTATTAATCACCTTGAATTACATTAGTATGTATTAATTATGATGATTCGATTTCCGCAGGTAAGCATGTATTAAGATGGGAAGAGAGATTCAAGATAGCTATTGGATTAGGGGAAGCTCTTGATTATCTACATAACCAATGTTCTAATCCTGTGATCCACAGAGATGTCAAATCCTCTAATGTTCTTCTCTCAGATGAGTTTGAACCTCAGGTATTGAGAGAACCACTGACTTGAAACTCGTAAATCTCTCTGTAAGACTCATTTAGAATTAACCTTTTTCGGATCTTTCTTGCGAGAATAGCTTTCAGATTTCGGGCTTTCGATGTGGGGATCAAAGTCTTGTCGGTACACGATACAAAGAGATGTAGTAGGGACGTTTGGTTACCTAGCTCCTGAGTACTTCATGTATGGAAAAGTTAGCGATAAAGTCGATGTTTATGCCTTTGGAGTAGTTTTACTTGAACTCATGTCAGGAAGAACTCCTATTTCAACTGATAGCCCAAGAGGACAAGAGAGTTTGGTCATGTGGGTAAGTTTTAGTTTAGGTTACTTGTAAAATAAGCAAACCTCATTGAAAACCTAAAAAGGAAAATATTACTTGGGTTGCAGGCAAAACCGATGATCGAGAAAGGCAATGCAAAAGATCTCTTGGATCCAAACATTTCAGAGACTTTCGATGAGGATCAGTTTCATAAGATGGTTCTTGCTGCTAGATATTGTCTTACAAGAGCAGCCACTCATCGTCCCAATATCAAAGAGGTTAACTACAGAATTATAGTCCTCTGTTTTTTGGATCCTCTGTTTTTTACCCATGAATTGTGCCAAGATCTAACCTTATAGTCACTTTTTCGATAACATTTCTGTAGATACTGAGGCTGCTAAGTGGAGAAGATGACGTAGAGAAATGGGTGAAGAAAGTGGAAGAAGATGAAGATTGTTTCGATGACGAGGTTTACCCAAATTCGAACACAGAACTACACTTCAGCCTCGCGATGCTTGACGTGGAGGATAATGACTCTGTGTCAGTCAGTAGCTTGGAAAGAAGTAACAATAGCATATTTTCTTCTTCATCTTCATCTCAAGAGCTTCAATCTTAACTAGGGCTTATGTTTAGTATCTGGACTTTGCTTGATGATCACGTCATCTATCAAATCACGCTAGATATATCACTATATCACTACTCTGACTTGGGTTTTGCAACCATAGTCGGAAAAGTTTGTTTGTTTGTTTGTTTTTGTATAGATGAGAGGAGGAGAATAAAAATTGGAAAATATAATTGGCTGAAGTTTCTAATGTGAGTAAAACTAATTCTTGATTTGAAAAACTGGATATGGTATTTTTCAAGTAAAACTTGCCGGGTTATGAAACCTTTGGTCTTTTTATTTAGAGATGTAGACTTTCATCTTTATAGGAGGATTCTTCTTCCGATGGTTTGTCTCGAGCCAAAAGTCTCCGGAAGGATAGAAAACTTGTATAGGTTTTGATGGATTTGCCTAGTTTTGGTTTTAATTTTGTTTTTGAAGCGCGGAACGTCACCATTTGAAGCCTAAAACTATGAACACATGTTGCATGGTGGAACCCGGCGTTTGGACACACTCATTTTTTTTCCAGACTATAAATCATGTTGTCACATGTCGTAATTTTATTTGGTAGCGAAAAATCCAACAACAAATAGTGTATTTCGTTTATGAATAGTGAGAATTTTCTCTCTTTATCTTTAGCTGAGTGTCATGTTTGAAATGAGAATATTTTGATATACTTTAATGGTAGAGCCAATGATACAAAGAATTTATTTGAGAACTCGTAAAATTAATGGAMGTAAATCATGACTACTGAACGTAGCTGAAGAACGCAACTTTTAAACCTAGGCAAGAATAGAAAACATATAGCATATAGAATCAAATGGAAAACTATCGAATAAGATAATCTTCCATTAACCAGAATACACAGATCAAGAACCTCGAATCAAATCCTATGGCTATTTTTCATAAAGCTACCTTATCTCACGAGTCACGAGTCACGAGTCACGATGATCTATATATTTGTCTTTTGATGGAATAAAAATTATTATTATTTTTCTTATGGTGTGAATTCTAATGGTCTAAAATTAACGATGAAAATTCTGCAATGTTGGGCTTTTTTGTCGTGTTAGGAACTGTTGGAACCAGTACTGGTTGGAACATAAACTTTAATTTGTTTTGTGTGAAATTTTAGCAAGTCGTTTTCTGAAACTTAATAACACATGCAAGTGACAAATGATTTCACTAAAAAGTGTTTTTGTCAATAATTGACAAAATAATTCGTGTTTTACATCATTTACCCATGATTGATCATTTTCACTAAAACATTGTAAAATCTAGATTTTATATACTTCTTCCATTCCACAAATATAATTTTTCTATAAAAGAAATTTTAATGTTTTCAATGCATTTTTATCATTTAATGTTGATAAATTATAAATTTTTATCATTTAAAAAATGTTTTCACTGGTTTGAAATATCTTGCAGTTTTGAAAAAAAATCACAATGATTTAGCCAAATTTTTGGTATCTTAACTAAGGTTTTGCAAGGATGTCACCATTCTTATAATTATTATTCGTTTGTTCAAACTTTGGGTAGATTTATAATTCAGTTCAATGATCAGTTGAATGGAAATTGTAATCGAATGTAAAATGTAATAATGATCACCAATATCTAAAAAGTAAAAAGAAGTAATAATCGAAATCATTTTTAAAATGGTTTAGCCTGTTGACCCAAATTTTTAGTTGACCAACAAACCATATTAAAAAAATTTTATTCCATATCAAATTTTCAGAATTCGACGATTCGTCGTGTTTTCCAATTTTTTTTTTTTGAGTAGAAAACAAAGAAAAAGAGTATAATTAATAAAGTAATAATGATTTGACAGATTAATCACTATTTGTGTTAATATAGGTTTTGACGTTTTTATCCTTATTTTAACGTTGATTGACGAAATAATAAAATTAATATTTTATTCTGTCAAATATATCAAAAACAAGCTATAGGAAAAT